CCCTAAGAAATCGCTCTCCTATTAGCGTAGGTACGAACCAGAGTTGGTAGTTACAGTAGTCTTCACCTATCTGGGTATTCCCCTATTGAAGCTTTCCAAGTTTAGTTCACGGACTGCCAGACGTTCCGGAGGTAGTTCCTTCTAGTGTACTGACTAGAAAAGGGGCTAACGATGTGGTTGGAAGGTACATTCATTAGTTCAGAAGCTTGGGTGGCAGACGGCTGTTTCCTTCCACTTCCCTAATTCCAAGGCTATGTTTAGGAAATCTAACACACACATCCAAAATAACAATATGCGCGCGTCAGGCATCATCACTCGAAGCGGTAAAGACAGTCTGCAGACTGCACAATCCAGGATCTGTTGAGTGAGTGCTCATCAAACTCAGACATATTGCCACACTTGCGCTAGTTCTGGGGGCTTGCACAATGCCTGTGGTGGCTTGTAGGCATCTGGGATGAAGAGTAGCTCCTCACTGGCTCCTCTTTGCACGCCTCTCGAATGCTACGTGAGCTTGAGGCTTGAGGCTCTCGTGAAATTTCGGGCAGCTTCCGAAGCTGTACCTGAGAAAAGTGACAGCTCGTATTCTCGCAGATCAGCATTCGTCATGGTCCTCTGATCGAGACGGCTTTGAGATGAATGGAGACTGTGATCCTGGATGGAAACCTCAGTTGGGAAGGTTTTCTAGCTCGTTTCTGGACAATGCACGTAATGAGGGAACGGCTTCATGCTTGCCCCTTTGACTCGATTGGCTGCAGGTTAGATACAGAGAAAAGCCTCGCCTTGAATCCTAGGTTTGACCAGATCTGAATCTTTGTGTTGCGTGCTGTCAATTAAACTTTAAAACTAGATAGGAACTCGACTGGCCTCGAGTCTAATCTTCCCCCACAGTTCTAAGCTTAGTCGAGTCCAAACTCAATAAAGAAAACGACTACTGTTTTTGGTGTTGGCTTGCCTGGCTGGGCACAACTTCCTGTTGATCCGATACTATTATTGCTCTCTGTACGAGCTTCTTTTCTCGGTGCTTCCGGCGTCGGTAATTTCAAGTCAAGTCCCAAGGTAGTGGAAACCCAATATCGTGAAGATCACGTCGACTTTTAATGAAGATAGGAGAGGGGAAAGAGCTGATATGTACCACCAAAAATACGTATTGATCCATCCACGTGCTCCAACCATCCAAGCTTGAAGCTCTCCACCTTGACACCGACGGCGTTAGTGGCAATAAAGTCACTATTCTTATATCTTTGTTCATCCCATCCCATCCTATCCGATTTCAATCTCAATCGACATTCCCTCTATTAGAGAGAAGTAAGAAAGCGAAAGTCAATCTCAGTCCTGAGACCTCGAACATCAGCTGCTTACAAAGTTAGCATCACTCGAATAGCCCACTGCAACACTCTTGGACCAAAATTGGAACCATAAACGCTTAGCAGCTAAGGTGAATCTATCGAGCCCGCATGCTTCAGGATAGCTTCAGATTCTTGAATGTTGAAGACATTTCTCAACCTACCTACCTGGTGTGTTCAATCATCGAGCTTCCTCAATCGACCATTTCAATATCCGACACAATACTTCTGCCCAGTGGTGAAATAGGTTAGCTACGCTACCCTTCTGCTGCAATGCACCTTTTAGAAACCCAGGATTAATAAGTCTAGTAGAAGGACCCGTGTATCTTATGATCAGTCCACAAATCCACACCCACCTTTCTACCTTCAGTTTGCATCGGAGCCAATTCACGCCCCCCCCCGGTCAAATCGGCACCAGGCCCCATCTGCATCTGCAGACCTCACTCAGCTCATAACTGATCGCCAGCCATCCCGGGCGTCTCTTACTCGGCCCTAAGACCGCGAATAAAATTCCAAGTGCAGTCAGCTCAGTCTCAGTCTCAGTGGCGGCAGCAAGGATAATCCCGTACTCCAGGAGGTCATATTGCGGCAGAGCCTCGAATCGTGCAGCGCGGCGGCACGGCACTGCAATCCTCGCAATCACCGTTTCGAAGGAACGGAAATAGGACGGACTCGAAGGAGCGGGGGCGGGCATTTCCCACATAAAAATATCTTTGTTGGCTTTGCAGATCGATCCACCCGAAAGATTTGGCCCCCAAAATAGCAAAGAAAAAGGATCTGGCTTTCTTGAATCTTGTTCCTGTTCGGCCCGGCCCAACCCAAGCCAGCCCATCGTCATTCTGCGCCATCACATCGCTTCACTCACAGCCGCACCTTGCACCTTTCTGTCTGGTAGGCGACGGGAGCTTCTAAAATTACCTAGGTACCTTACCCCACGACGAGAAACTGAAGCCAGTCAAAGGAAGGCTGTACGTGCTGTACCAAGGACCGGGTTTGTAGCTGTATCGCATCGTATCGTATCGTATCGTATCGCTTTCTGTAGCCCTTCGTACCTGTAGGTCGTCGATACTTGCTACGTGCAGGAGGGGGGGATTATTCGCAGCGCGCATCGCATCATATAACATCGCGTTCGCGTTCGCATTCCCAGCAGATCGAATTACTGTACCTCCGGACAGTACCGTACAGTACAGTATTGCAGTTGCCCGACTACTACTACTCTCGATTCAATTCCCCATCCCATCTCCTTCCTTCCTAACTGCATTGCACTGACTGCAACTGCACAACACAACACTACGCTGCACTGCAATTCTGGCACGCGCGGTCGAGGATCTTTAATTGATCGATTTGCCCCTTACGGATAGAGTTGTGGGTATCACATCTCGTCCTGGTCGATTTTCAAAAGCCACCACCTTTCGAATCCGTTTTTCCACTCTATTCCGACCAATCGCGGCACCGGTCCAACATCCAGTCCAGTCTGTGCATCCTATCCGAGGCGACAGACAAGGCCAAGTCTAGACACCCGCGAAAGTCTTTTTTCTTGTCCCTGTCCGCTACCACTACACCCACCATTTCGGGTGCCTCACTACCCGTCCACCAAGGAAGGGAAGGACTTGAGTGAGTGAGTGAGTGAGAGAGAGAGAGAGAGAGAGACAGAGTCGAGTGGGTTAGGAAATAAGGAAATAAGAAAAGGAAAGGAAAGACTACTCCTAGCCTCTCGGTCCGCGGCCACTACCTACCTTACTATATCCTCCGCTAGGATCCTCAGCACCCAAATCTCCCCTCCCCTTCCCTTTCCCCCCTTCTCAAGTTCCCCTCCACGCACGCGCCTCATTCAGTCCTTATTGCGGGGGAGACCTTTTGGGGTCCGAAATTGCCTGTCTGCCCGGCTGCCCGTCTGCCCCAGTGCAGCGTCACCACACGCTCTCTATTACCGTAGCTGCTACTGTAGCTACCAGAACAGAACCGACGCCAGCCTAACACCAGTATCAACACTCCTTCCAGCAGGCTGGTTGTAGCAGCGCGCTTGTACCTTCATCTACTCCGAACTAGCGCTTGGCACCCACACTGCAGTCTGTTGGTCCCAGGGTCTCCGGTACGTCGAATAGACCCAAGGAGGAATAGCAACAGGAGTCAGCGAATGAGAGCGCGCAGAAAGGCTGCCAATGATTGAAAGTAAGTCAGATCCTTTTGCTGCCTTCTTTTTGCGTGCGTGCGAGCGATATATAAGCTCTCGTATTTCAGCCCTTCCCCTCTGCACGATTCCAAGGGCTTCATGTTGTCTTTAGAAGTCCATATTCTACATGCAATTCTTTGTTGTTGCGCATGTACAGTATCACCGTCGTTATTGGCCAGAGCACACAACACAACACGGCCAGCCTCTTTTCTCCCATTGGTCTCATCTCACAAAAGGACATCGAGTGTGTGCGTCTTCTGTCAAACGGGATCTCAGGTAGATGTCGTGTACGACAGTTACCGCGACCCTGGCAATTGACCGTTGCGTTCGCTGTCTCTAGTGCAAGGGTATCTCCTCATCCTCCCCCCCCCCCCCACTCCCCTTCCCCATCTCTACTCCCTTATCATATATTTCCCCTACACCCTTCTTGGTCATTTATTCCCTCCTACTATGCGCAATCTCATTCGCTGCATTCCCTTTACGCTCGTTGTCGTCGTTTGCCGACCAGATCCAGCCTGTTGGGTAATTGTTTTATGACCGATACTAACCATACCCTATAGTTCTCTCACCTCCCAATCTAACGGTCAATCACTTCATGTGCTCGCAACCTGGTAACATCCATGACCTAGCCGCTTATTCTGGCCAACCACCTTCTTGTATAATCGGGACGGAGTCTGAGCCTGACAGCTCTTCGAGGCAGGAATTCTCCCATCCATCTTCTCTACCTGACATGGGGCTTCGATACATGCAAATTCCAGCGACAGATGATGTTCGGTGAGTTTTGCCTCTTTAATTGGCTGTCTGTTCTCGTGTGGCAAAGCCGCTTGCATTTAGGCACATCCACACCCTTTTTTGTACTCTTCTGCCCCGTTTCAACACAAACCCATGCACTTAGTCTCGAGCTTCTCTTCGCCTAAGCTCCGGCCTATGCATGGAATGCCACGAATTTACCCTTCCTGGCACTCTCTCGTCAAGCGTGGCACGGCTTAAGCCTCACAGCGGTTAGACAGTTCACTGCCGCAACTGTTTGGATCACGCGAGTAGCCCCCGCTCCTGTGCCACGAACGGTTGAGCTGGCTGTCCTACATATGCAGTCCAACTGGGCATCACTGTCACGATGAACGATTGTGGCCCTAATTCTGTGTTCCTGTTGAACTTTAATGTTGTCTTGCAGTCATGTACTGTTGTGGCTGACTGATAGCTCAGATTTAACCCGGACTCCGGAACCCAAAGCCCTGTATACTCTATTGAACCTGCAGTACAGAACTCCTCCTCGTCATCGTCGTCATTAGGGTTCTCGTCATATAACAATATTTATCAACCTAGCCTGAGCGGCTCCACGTACTCCAGCGGAGCCAGCAGCTACTTTTCGCCGAGCTCTTCCGTGTTCATGCCTGATCTTAAACCGCGCTTAAGCTCACTGTATGTCAATTCCCCCCTATTTGTAACATGATACCCCATTCATTTTGTGGGCAAGATAAATAATGACATATCGATACAGCAACGCATCGCCTGGGTTGGCTCCACCAACACGCTCTCCAGCGTTACCTCATCCAGGGACGCCATTAGCAACCCGGGACCTATACACAGGTACAACACCACAGCTCCGACGAACGTCGGATCTGCTCTCAAGATCTCCCTCCTCAATTTCTGGAGGACTGCGCGGTGTGCCATTGTCACCGTCGTCAAGTGGTTTCGCGAGTCCAACCAATATGGAAGGCTCACTTGGAGGCACTGCATGCCCCCCCTTGAATGCAACTGAATTGATCTATGAGATCCAGACTGGAGATGGGCAAAATTTAAGACCAGAGATCTTCGGAAGAATTGACAAGGGATTTTTCCAGGCAGACGGCGATTGGACATGTTACAGAAGAAATTACTTCTCTCTTAACTGTTCTTACACCCTTCAACCAGCACTTCCAACTGGGACCATCTTTCTTGCGCAGAATGGACATAAAGGATATCAGGTTTATTCATTTGCAATGTCGATAGCTGCAGTTGTGGATGGAAGGGACGGAAAATCCATTGAACTCGTCCAACATACCCCCAAACGAGACAAGGGGCCCCAGGAAAAGCCAGGTCGAGTCACGCTGGCACCACGACCTCCAGCTTTACATGGGATGTATGGTGATGGCGGGCTTGGAAGCTCTTCTCGGGGAGGGAGTCTTTATGATAATCCCGGTTTCGGTCAAAATCCGAACCAACCGCAAGTGGAGGCGACGTTTGAGCGCATTCAATTCAAGAATGCTACAGCTAATAACGGCAAACGACGAGCTGCGCAGCAGTATTATCATCTCCTTATCGAGCTATTTGCGGATGTAGGTCAGCAGCACCCAGATCGCTTCGTGAAAATCGCATTCCGAATGTCTGCCCCAATGGTCGTCCGTGGTCGATCGCCAGGTCATTATCAGAGTGAAAGAAGAGGAAGCAACGCCAGCACTGGACCTGGATCTGGCGGCGCCGGAGGTGCTGGCTCATATACTCCAAGTGCCGGAACGTCGCGAACACCAGGCGACATGAACATGTCCGGTACATCCTCAATGCATCCGGGCTCTAGCTACGGAAATTCATACGATAACCGGTCACATCATTACCGGGCGCATATCGCCCCATTGCAAATTCCAATGGAGCCAGTGCTGTCCGCTGAAGAGGCAAAGAGCATTGAAGAATCACCCGGCTACCTCTACTACCCTGGCCCGATCTACGAAGGAAGCCACCACGAGGCCCGTTATCAACTTCCCAGCATGTCAGACTATACTACGTCGAAGGTCAAGCAGGAGTACGGTCAAGGTGGCTACGTCCTCCCCAGCTTAGCAAGCACACAGGATAGCTTGAACAGGCATTGTGGGCGCTGGGAGGGAACCGCAGAATCCAAAGGATATTACCCAACATCGCTGATCCAGCAAGAGCTGAACATCAGCTAGCACTCACCTCACCTCACTCCACCTAAATACAACCCGTTGCAGAAACCTTCGAAGTTGTCTGCTACATGATACATCACATCATAATATGCTTTTCCTAATCTTGTCATTCGATTTCTTTTCCTCTGAAATGTGTTTTCCTTCTTCATCGAGACTGGGAATGGGCAAACGGGAATAACGGCGCAAGGCAAGGAACAAGATACCAGACGTTATGCTTGATTGGTAACATCAGGCTTTGGTCATATGAAACGGGACACGGCAAATGGTCATGGGATGTTTTTTTTTTTTTTTTTTTTTCAGGGATATGGAAACATGGCTAGCGGCGAGAGAGAAAAGTGCTTTCGTTCTTCATTTGCTTCGCGAGGCTAAACATTTTTATAACTTTTACTTTGTTCAATCCAGCATGTGGAGCGCATACATGGGACGCGCGAGTGAAGTGGGAGTGGAATGGAAGAAAATGGAATCCGAGAGGGGACGTGGTGAAGGATTTCCTAGATGCAATGCGATGCGATGCGATGTTGTTGTTCAATGCCCGCGCTGATTTGAAGTTGTACGTCGCGCCTTGCTCGTCGGTGGGTTTTGACTTGTGGGTATGAGATGGGGGTACTATATGAGGCAGATGAGTGGAATGTTGCTGAATGAAGTGGGTGAGAAGAGAAGAGAAGATGAAAAGAGAGATAGTACATTTGCTGCATCGTAATCAAATTCAGGAGGCTTGTTGATACCCAGTTTATAATAACATACCTAGATTTCTGTCAGTGCGTAGCGTAGATTCATGCATGTACGTACGTACATATCTGTAGTTAACCATGCTGATTGATCAAAGACTCTAGATCTGAGACGGGCCCAGGTATATGAAGTTCAAGATACTGTGTACGTTTTCGTGACTACAGCTGGCCCCTATTTCATAATCGTTTATCATTCCTTTCATAGCCATGACTCTTTCTACTCTCTAAACAATCAATCAATCTCCAAACAATCTGCTTAATCTATCAATCACTCAGTCCCTTGAACCGCAAATCCAGCCCAACACCCTTATACGCCCATACTTAGGCACTCAATGAACCCCCCACCACACCCTATCATCCCGGCCCCCTTAACCCTCCCAGCGCAAATTATTCCTCACGACGTCAATACCAGCATCCTTTCTTTCCTTTATATTTCCCCACACAAGCAGCCACCAAGCTAGACTAGACTAGATACGAGTAAACTCCACCTCAAGCCTTCCAGCCTCTCTTCTCGATTCCTCGTCTCGGTACCAAGTGGTAGATAGAAGTAAAATATTCTGGGATAAGATTCGGATGTAGGAGGATTGATGGAGGGAGGAGGGCCGGGCGCCTTTCGTGGTGTAGTGCGTGCGTGCGTTTGTTGGGTGGTCGAGGAGGTGTTACTTTCTGTAGATGAAGGGATGGATGGATATGCAGATGCATGTGGAGACGGTTGTTCGATCGAGGAGGGTAGGGGAAGAAGCCTAGGGAGGTATACGTAAGAGTCGTGAAGAACCGGGTAAGTGATCAGAGGTGAGCGAAAGAAGAGAGAGGTACAGTAAGTAGGTATAGTTCCCTCGATCGAGCCCAAGAAGCCCTGCTTTGTCCTTCCTTAACGCTATAGCATCAGCTTGGTGCATCTGATCGGATCTGATCTGGGTAGGCATTGAGAAAGCGCAAAGGGGCGTTCGTTGGTCGGCAACAATAAGTTGAGATTAATTGATTACGTACTTCATATCAAGTCCATGAAATGTAAGGATGCATAGCAGCAATCTCTAATACAACGCGCGCGAAAACAAGACCCCGTCATGATATCGTCTTCTCGTTGCTTTTGCAAAGCCGTTGGCGAGCACTTTGACAGCACGGCTACCTTATGCTTGAAGCAAAGCTCGCTCAAACGCGAAAAGGGGCTGTTCCAAGAACCAGCCCCTTTTGTCGAAAAAAAAAAAAAAAAAAAACCGTTGGAGTTTTCGTATAATAGTGATAGGAATCGCAATTGAAGTTGAGAGATTCACAGTCTAGAGAGTCCAGTAGGAACAATTTGTTGAAATGGCTTCGAGCAGAGATACAACGAAAGGGAAAGAGGAGTAAGTTGCATTGCATTGAGATTTCCTGATTGGTAGACTTGCATGATATGGTTGGGTTGGTGACTTGGTGTCACCCAACCATCATCCCGTCGGTCGGTATCTTGAACCTCGAGAAGGAACTTTGCGACGAGCGATGCGTGCGCGGATTGAAAGGTTGATGCTTACATACGCGTGTGGGTAGCTTCTGGACGGCTTATTGCAATTCCAGCCCTTTTATTGTGTCGGAAGACTCTTATTCTTTTATCTGGGATCGTGAATGCGAGGATCTCGATTGCTCTTTGCGATGGATGGATGGATGACTTTACGATCTTTTGACGCGCCGTTGGGATGGCGATGACGGATTAGAGTCGTGTCTTGAAGGTTAGGCCTAGGGAGGTCTCTAGGTTTATAAGGTGAGACCTATCAGAATCTGCCATCTACTCGAGTTGTCTCCTGATGCATAGCATGTTGCTCGCTCTTGAGATCAAATCGAGCTCAAATCTTCTAGCATTCTCTGAATTTGCAAAACTTCCCAAAGACTGGTCATTGTTTTCAGATCTGTTATTCTGTTATACGTGCTATCTTTAGCCTCTTTTAACCTGGAAGCTATGACTTGCTTAGCATTTGCTAATCTGTCTCGTAAATAGCAAGCCTTTGACCCCGGCCGTCACTTCGAAGCAAACCACAGAAACACCCACAAGGCCGACTCGCGTCGTCTTCGAAGGAAGCCGCTCCGATGCTCAATTCCAATCTCAGGGCATGCCTTATCAGAATCTTCTGAATACGAAGCAAGAGAGGTCAGCTTAAAGTGTTTTGCCCGTTTGATTAGGCAAAGAGGCAAAGGTTATCGAACACCTGCTGTTCTCATCAAACGAATCATACGGGATAGCAAGCAGAACATACGTTGACGGAGTTCAGATCCAACACCCGGTTCCACACCCTGATGTATCATGAACATTTCGATCTGACCTTCATAATGGACCGGGATTCTCGGAGGGCTTTAGGAATAGGAACTGCGCTTACGGCAACTGCCCAAGCCGGAGCAAGATAGAAGCGCAAGGCGGAAGACAAGCACTATATTCTTAGCTTGTGGTCTTTGTGAATGAGGTGAGCACCTTTTATAAGTTGACCTTTTCAAAAGCTGGAAAAATGACTCTTCCTCAGAGATCATTTTCGAGTCGTGACGGCAAAATGCACGAAATGCGGTCAACTGCGAGGTTGATGATGAGAGCTGCTACTCGTCTCTCTTCTCTTTGAATGCAGTTGCCTTGATGTCGGTGTGCTTTACAACTCTAGAGGGCAAATGAACACCGTTGGACGAGATGGATATTATAAGTAGCCTTATTTCCAATGAGCATCCTCCTATGTTGTCATGGAACGTTATTTTTATCGACAACGTGGGTGGATACAATTTCCAGAACTCCGTCTTTCTTTTTGAATCGAAATTACAAAACAGAAGGGCTTAAATGTACCCATCATCCTTTTCGCGAAGTTTTTCAAAAAGATCATTGGCTAATGTCTTGTCTCACCCTTGAAAAGCGGGAGGCATGGTAAGAGAACTGCCAGTCCCTTCAAACTCTTTCCATTCTTCAATGTTATAGTTAGTTTCTTTATCGAAGACGTGGTTTTACTAGTGGAAGATCCCAATGGACACTGAAGCATGCATACCGTTGAAGTGAAAAGGGGAGGGAACTCTGCTCAATTCAGGACTTTCGTGTGACCATGTTTTCATTATTGCTCGGAATCTGGGTCATTGCGAGCATATCAGACTCCATGGTCAGCTCACAATTCTCGAGGATTAACGAAGGAGGGAGGAAGATTGTGTCGAGCTTCGCAAGCGATGTAGCAATGATAATTGAAGCCGAAAGCAATACAGTCAGCTCTAAATGTCCCTCGCCCGTCCCGGTACTGCACTATTCAAGAACACTTCTAGCGGTGCATCATCGCCATTCGTTATTTTCATGCACAACTTCTCAGCGGCACTCTCCATTTGATCTGCTGTGTTCAACTCGTCAACCTTCCACTCCCTTTTCCGAGCTTCATCTGGAAGTTGAGCATGAAAGAGGAATATAAGCGGACTAGACTGCCACAGTCCCACTCGACTTTGTCGAGTTTTTACAAACGCAGCCAACAGGAATCCACAGGCAAGTATGAGCGATAGAGTTGGAAGAGTCAGCCAAGCCCAGCGGACCGTGATGAACTGCTTCTGGACCCATACGTGGCCATTAACTGCCTGATTCGCCGCGATCAACGATGCATTTTGCTGATTAGGGAGTCATTTGCACGCATCTGTGTGGTGATATAGTTCGCCAGCGAATGCATCGCATTTGTGACGTTGGAAGCTTGGTATAGATTGGGTCTGCCATCATACACCCAAAGGATAGCAATAATACTAAGGAGTGATCCGGCTGCGGCCCCGCAACAAGTAATTTACTTGACAAGTCTGCTAATGGATAGAGGTTTTTGAGTGCATGAGAAGCTTTCGCCCCCGTCTTTCCGAATTCCTCATCCGGGTTGCGATTTTCATCCTCTAGGAAATGGTACTGTCCCCATTGCCACGAGTCCCGCTGTCGGAAGAAGTGCGTATTGTTAGCCATATTTAAACGACGTATTATGCAGCCTAAAAACATATACAATCATACAAATGAGATACTCGAATGTGAAGCAGCAAGTTGTACGGACAGCAGTAGAAGTTCGAGTCCCAAAGCTGGAAATCGATTATACGGACAGATGGGCTAAGCTTTATACCTTTGTTGCAATTGGCGATATCTGGTGTGGGATGCATCCATTGTTGACTTGTACCTGGCTCACCAGCGGATGAGGTAATGATTCACCTAGGGCACAGCAGTGGCTTGGAAACAATGCCACAGCCTTATGGCCAAATACGAGGCAGAACCATATGGCTTGAAAAGAAGACGGAACTGACACCCCTCCTCTTTCTCCACCCTCCAACCATAAGGTTCGGAAAGATAGGGGGGTTTAGGGAACGCCCGATTATCAAGCAATGCCCTAGACAAGAGCCTTACATAGCCACGTAGTGAAGATAAGGGTATGTAATCTGGCCCCAAAATCTATTAGCATAATTACAAGACAATATAGAACCCCAACGTCTTGAAAGGAAATCCTTCTCACTATATATAAGTGGAAGTGGAGCACATAAAGGAATTGGACCAACTCTCGAGGGTGTCCTGTATTGGTCTATAGAGAATGTAGTTTGCGGTGGGCGACCGTTGTTTTGCTGGATCAGGAAGGATGTTCTGTGGTCTAATTTGTTTGCTTGAATCATTGAGTAAGTGACAGAAACAAGTCGAAGTAATCGAAAAGTTTCATCCACTAGATCTCCACTCTTATGTGACTTGTGTCATACTGCAGAATGATTGGTATATCTCATATATGTATTATCTCAAGCTTGTATAGTCTCTACATGTTACTCAAAACTCATTATAGAATAGTAAACAACCAGTCATCATAAAATCCTCATAATCAATCTGATACTACCATCTTCCAATTTTGAATTCGTCATCTTCTGCGAGCCTGAAGCGAATCAACTCGCCTCCATTAATAAGTTCCATCAGGCTTCATTTCCGAGTACCCCGGAAACTGATCAAATTGACTCTCGTCAATCTGTGTCAACTGAGGACAAGACAGTCCCGAAATAGCTGTCGAAACAGCTCCAGTCAAGCGGGTCACGGCGCCAAGAATATCAGAGATGACGCCCGAGCCCTTGATCAAATCCGGCGCAGCTTGGGCCAGGAACTGCATACTGAAGCAAGCGAGGTTATTCCCCTGCGTCAGTGTCGCCGCGTTGAAGACCCCCTCCGTGATATCTTCCGGCAGAACCCCCACGAACGAGTTGACCGTTCCGGTGTTCCCGCCCACGGAGAGGAACTTGGGGTATTCGAGAGCTGCAGCAACAGTATCCAGGGCTAGAAGTGGGATGCTGTATTCGTCACCGATAGCGCGCTTGTACCAGTTGTCCGGGATGCGCTCGTTGCCTGGGGTATGTGTGAAGGAGCCGTCGTCATTCTTGGTCATGGAAAAGAAGGACATCAGGACATCTCCGTTGAGGTAGCCTTCTGGGTTTTCCGCGGACTTGTTGCCCATGAATCGGTAGATGAATTCATAAGCGGCCGGGGCGACAAGGACACCCGTGAAAGGGCCGTTGAAGAAGTACGGGTTGTTGTTTAGAGAATAGTCCCATCGGGCCGATCGGAATTCATTCAACACATCTAGAGTATAGCTATCACCATTGGCCTGGCCTCGAGCATAGAGGTCTTCCCACTGGTCCATTTGGAGCTTGTAGTCGTCTCCATTGAGGTACAAGTCACCCCTTGTGGGAGATGCGTCGGATTCGTATTTATTGTGGGATCTAAATTGTTTCAGCAAGGAATCAAATTTTCCCGGAACAGGCTGACATACCCACTGATACCTTGTGGCTCTCCGAGAAGTCCTCCTAGAGAGAGGGCGCTGGGTACAGGTCCTCCGATTGACCAGGATAGACCGTCACCGTCAAGCGTGCCGCCCACAACGGTAAGGAAAGCAGACATGTCTGCGGCCATGCCAAATACGTCAAGTGTGCCTTGGATGAAATCCAAATGACCACCAACACCATTATGAGGCTGCAATAAAGTATTAGAAACGAGACGCTGATCAACACTTGAAAAATACCGACATACCAAATAGCCATGATTTGCCATGGCATTTAATCCAGGACAAGGGCCTCTAACATCGCCAGCATCGAAATCTGGAGGAACAAACGTATGAGCCCCTGTCGTTGAGACATACTGTGCAGCGGCATTGAAGCCTGGAGTAATCCCTAATAGTCTTTTCTCATTCGCTGAAGATCTTTGTAACTGATCTAAGACGGTAGGGAAAGCAACAACGCCTGACGCGAGTGCGCCGAAAGAAAGTATAGTGGGCTTCATTTTACAAGACCAAGAAACTAAGAAGGAAGTATATAACAGCTAAGGTTGGACAATAGCTTTCTGGGGGGAAAGTAAAGGTTACCACGGGTATAGATATACTCTCCATATCGACCTCTAGCCTGCCCGCCATTGGAATGCCGAATGACCTGTTTAGTCTTCAATTTAAAACTCATCGTGAACCGTTCTACAATTTGCGGGGTGAAGCAAGAAGCAAGGTAATATGTTCAAGGATTGTAAAGATCATCAAGCAAACGTGAAGAAGCAGAATGGCGCTGTATACTCCCCAGGCCGAGGAGACGTCTTGAATTCGAGCTCCTAACCAATAAAAAATCAACACACTATTGCCCCTCTTCTGTCACGGACTTATGACCAAGAAGTACAACATCAGTGGCCCGGTCAAAGAAATCTCCGGGTTGGTACTACCTGGGGCTACTTGCCTGTTAAAGCCTGATATAGCGGCGAAAAGCTTCAACATTTCCAAACAAAATCGGAAATCGACTTTCAAGGGCACAATGAATTTCCTTACAGGTGCATTGTGATCAAAAGAAAGGTTACTGTCAATGGATGATTTACGTACAGTACCGCAAATTGGAAACCGAAAAGGACCATATTACGAAAACCTCAAAGTGACACATTCAGCTTGGTCAACAGGCGTGCCGTTCCACCTCTTAGCCTCGGCTTAGTAAATCAAGCAATTCAATTGGAGAATTAAGAGGAGGTGTCACACTTGAGACACATACACTTATGTATCATGATGGGTGAAGGTGTTCAAGTGTAGGCAAGGAGAGCCTCGGCAGAGATAAATAAGTGGGTACTATTAGATCTACTTGATCGTTGAGAGTCATACTAGTTTACGGGTCGTCAAGATACCGCGCATTAGATTAAGCTTAGTTGAGGGGTGTGGCGGAAAGAATGCGGGGAATATCTGACGTCTAGGCATTACCTCAAGTATTTCCTAAAATGGAAGTGTTGCCAAGGACTTTCGACCAGATCAAGGTTTGGAAAGAATGATTGAGATAGAAGCATGACCAATCCAGTTTTAGATAGACCGGTTGCTGTTTCTTGCTGCATGTTTTTTCTCTGTTACAAAGAATCTAGTATAAGCAACCGTGAAAACGTATAGTAACTAATCTATCCATGAAAAAGTAAGAGTGATGTGCGTCGCAAGCAGAGACTGGAAATACAAGAGACATCTCTCGCGTTTACCGTCTCCGCTGTCACAGAACAGCCACACTCAATATATCTATTCCTGTCCTCATTGTGAGACAAAAACTCCGTCACTGGAACATATCCAATCAAACCTACCCTGCCTTGACGTCTCGTCCCATATTGCCTGATATGTGCCTCGGGATTCTTACTTTGAATCTGCTCTGCACCCAATCGTAACATGATCAGCAGTTCCCAGCTTAGCTTTCCCAACCTGAATACTCCCACATGCGCTACCGCCAGATCAATGATTTCCATGGCCACCACCACTCCCGAACATCGTTATCTTAGACATTTCGCACCCGCCATGATTGACCCTGCTCCAAGACCTGTTTCATGCCATTCACTTCGTCGCCATCAGGGGCTGACCCAGTACACAAGCTGCCGTGGGGGTTATCTTCAGCTTCTTAGAACACAATCAACCTTCCGAATCCGCTCCATGTTTTTCGGAGCTTGCCTGAAGTTTCTTTCCGCAGCGGCGAGACAACACACCATGTGAATATCATGACCGCAGGTCGCGAATGGAGAGGGCATCCATGCCCATCTCTTCTCGAAAAATAACGGTCTTTCCGAAACAAATTTCAAAGACTTCGTTCGGCACGGCGAAGCTGGGGCCTCCGATTCTGCCACGAAAATCAAAGACCAAGGTTGCGCCGAGAAGATTGCGTCGCACAGATTTTCCATTCGAGAAATATTGGTATATATATTCTTTCCTATTGTACTGCCTCCACGACTTGATTCATCTATTAAGAAGCTATGTTGCGTAGGCCACTGAACGATGAAACTTTTGACAATTAGGTAAAATAACGAGATTCAGCTTGCCCGAAATCAATATTCCAAGAAAAATAAATCGGACGAGCTCGCAACCTAAAGCTCATGATAATAGGAAATTCGTCGTATGATAGTTGAATATACACACACCACGCACCAGACACCACACTTAGTATATCATACGAACTGCACAGATGAGAACACATCCTGTATTAAGCGACAATCATATATCAAGTCTGCGAACAAGGCTCCTGAAGCAGGTTTTCCATCTTGCTCTCTCTTCTAATAAACAAATGACGAAGCCACCTTGCCAAATCACTCACTTGAGTATGAAGATATAAAGACTCTGTCAAACGGAAATATATTTCATGATAATGCCACCTAGGCACTGAAAATGCAATAACCAGTCTAATATATACACTTTCCAAATGGCCTAAACTCGCTAAATTGACGTATTTCCATCTACAACTTCGCAACCAACTTCTCTCCCTTGTGGATCCATTCCACTGCATCGCCAACCAGCTCATCGACAACAGCTTTGGCGCTCTTCTTCTCGTTGACAACCGCTGCAGCCTTACCCATCAACCAAGGGCGGGCATTGTCCATTGTCTGTCCCATGTTAACATCGTAATCCACATATACTTAAAATGTATGCAACTTACATCATCGTCAATATCATCACCCAAATTTTCAAAGTCGTGCTCCACTGGGATGACACCCTTGCTAGTGAGCTCCTTGATCTCTGCCGCACGGTTCTCCTCCCAGTTGGTAATGTACGCGTTATTCCGTACTCGTAGTGGTCTCCCGGTAAAGATAATGGTTCGGACGTTGTCATCATGGCCTGCAGTACGGACTGCCTCCTGGTGTGCTTTTGGTGCACCGGCTTCATCAGTCAAAATGAATCGAGTTCCAACCCAGACAGCGCTGGCGCCCAACATAAGAGCAGCAGCAACAGTCTGTCCATTATAGATACCACCAGCAGCAACAACCTGAACGGGCTTGCCAGTCATTGGGCTGGTCTTGCCCTTGACAAGTTCTACAACGGCTGGGATTAAAATCGTTGTAGGAACATCACCAGTATGTCCACCTCCCTCACCTCCTTGGGCGCAGATAATGTCAACACCGAGCTCGAGGCATTTCTTAACGTGCTTTGGGTGTCCGATCATGTTCATGTATAGGACACCGGCCTTGTGGAGACGGTCGACAACAGCCTTGGGAGGAACTCCGACGGCGGAGACGAAGAGCTTAGCACCGCTGTCGATGATGATGTCCGTAAGCTCACCAAGTTTTCCTTTCGTGTAATCGTAGCTGCAAAAAAGAGAAATGTAAGCAAATGTGTTGTAATCAAGGGTTTGCCACCTCGGCATGTGAGAGCTTACTTGGTTTTCCGTGCGCTGCCCCCAACTTGTGGGAGGAGCAAGTCGACACCAAAAGGAGCATTCTTGTCTGTTAAATACGACTTCAATTCCGCGATTTGCTCCCGGAGCATATCTGGTGTGTAGCCCACTCCTCCAATGACACCGAGGCCTCCAGCATTTGTGACAGCTGCAGCAAGCTTGGGGCCAGCTGCGACATTCATCCCAGCGAGAAGAACGGGGTGGTTGATCTTGAGGAGGTCAGTGACCGTTGTGCGGAGTTGTTCTGGCATTCTTGTCAGTATGCGTATGCTGAAGAATCAGGACTTGCATGTGATACATACGTGGGGAAGCCATGGTGTTGATGTTGTGTTTGTTTGACGGATATGGTTGTCGTGATTAGCAACAAAGGAGGAGTTGCTTGCAAGAGAATGTGTATGAAAGAGTACCGAACAAGTAATGAAGAAGGACTGAAGGGAATCAAATAGAATGTGTGAGGGGATTTATCAGAAGGAAAGAGGGACTTTCGACTAGCGACTAGCACCGGCAACCATGATCTATCTGGGGAAGTTGCCTCGGCCTTGGCGGAATACGTACCTTAGCCTCCCTCATGTGACTACGTTAGTCTACCTTGCCTTATTGGGACTACTAAGCACACGTGATGTCTGCTGACTAATATGATCTAAAATCATCCTCGTAACTCTACATTATCAATATCAATGAAAGACTTCCAGATTATACTATTTAATATTGGTGGTCAATGAGAAGAATATACCCAAGACCTCATCTTAAGGTGAGAGCCTTGGCATCGAGCTATGTCCGTCCAACACAATCGCCCAGAGGCGGCATCGACAACTTGACCTCCTTGCCCTCGAGGCGGCATGAAAGTTCTCTGGCCCAGGATGTGAAGACTGCAATCTCAAGCTGGACTCAGCATACCCTCCCCAACTCCCAGGTCTTCTCAACCGAGCCGATTGAACTCACACGAGCAGAAGCAGAACCCCACCTAGCATACATTGCCTTTGGGAGTAATATGGGAAACCGGATAGACTGGATCGAGCAAGCATGCAATGAAATGACGAATGCAGGAATCAAGATCTTGAGAACAAGTAGTCTTTGGGAAACAGAGCCTATGTATGTGCCCGATCAAGACAAATTCGCCAATGGTGTTTGCGAAGTGAGTTTTCAGCCCCCATTTCACACACGTGACACGAAGGACTCGATGAACCACGGCCTTCAACTCCAGTCCATAGAGATGTCATTTTCAAATAGATCTGACCATTATGATAGGTTCAAACTGTATTTGGGCCAATCGAGCTTCTAGATACCCTTCAGGGTATCGAGCGCTTTCTTGGCCGAAAAAAGTTGATTGACAAGGGTCCTCGCAACATCGATCTTGATATCTTACTCTACGACGATGAAGTGGTAGACCATGAGAGGTTGAAAATCCCTCACGCACTCATGTTAGAGCGAGAATTCGTATTACGGCCACTCGCAGAGTAAGATGAAGTTTCCCCTTCTCTATCAACTTGATGTTAACCCTTTCTAGGCTCGTTCCAGCAAAGGCTTTAAACCCTGCATCGCCGTGGAAAACCACAGTGGACTATCTAAACGCCCTTCCACCACCCACATCCGAGACGACTACTCTCACTGCTTTGGGAGACTCGCATATACCAATCCGAGCTTTGTCCTCCGAGCGCAAGACTCAGATAATGGCAATCATGAACTTCACACCAGACTCTTTCTCCAATAAAGGTATCGGTTCTCACAACAAAGAACTGATGCTCCCAAACCTCGAAGAGACAGCTAAACTCACCGCTACCCGCGGTGCCACAATCATCGACGTCGGGGGCCAATCAAGCGCGCCAAACAACAAAGAAGTCAAAGCGATAATAGAGATATCTCGAGCCATACCCCCAATCAAATTACTCAAAAAGTCCCCCGATTTCAACGGCTTAATCAGCATCGACACATACCGCGCCTCTGTCGCCGAAGCAGCCGTAAACGCAGGCGCCGATATCATCAACGACATCTCCGCCGGGGCCATGGACCCCGACATGCTCCCCCTCATGGCACGGCTAGGAAAAACCGTCATCCTCATGCACATGCGCGGCACCCCCACCACCATGCAGCAAAGTATCTACACCACCTACTCGCCCGACGGTCTAATCCCCAGCATCGCCACCGAGCTCCTAGCCCGCGTGCAAGAAGCAGAAGCAGCGGGCATCCGTCGCTGGCGCATAATCCTAGACCCAGGAATCGGATTCGCGAAGTCGAATTTGCACGCGGTGGAGATACTGCGTCGCTTGGATGAGCTGCGTGACTGGCCTGGCTTGCAAGGGTTGCCGTGGCTCGTGGGCGCGAGTAGGAAGCGGTTTATAGGCACCCTGACCGATGTGAGGAATCCTAAAGATAGGGTTTGGGGAACTGCTGCTGCGGTGGCGGCTGCTATACAGGGGGGTGCGGATATTGTAAGGGTGCATGATGTTGGGCAGATGGCGAAAGTGGCTAAGGTGGCTGATGCAATATGGAGAGTGCGATCTTAATAGAAGTACGCGGTCTCATCGCTTTGTATATTTCGGTAATATACAAGCTATGATCTTCGGATGAGCATTCCAAACTGAAAAATGACCAAACCATTGCCTCATTTAATAGACATTTTCTCTAGCATATGCAGCATCATCAGCAAAGCTATCCATCCGTATAGCGACACCACCCATCCGACCCATTACCAGAACCAGTCTCTCTCTTCTTACTAATAGCAATACTATTACCGTGCTCAAGAACCAGTTATTGTAGAATATTTATTGTTATTGTTATATCGTGTCTAGTCCGAAAATATACGGAGGTACGTTCCCCTAATAGGGCATCCTGTATTCCATATCCCTAGTATCATAGTTCTCCCCTGGCCCAAAATCCATATACCAAAACCCAAAACTCACTAAAACGCCAACCGTAAACACCTCACATACCCCTGCCCGTCCCATCATCAATTAGCCTTGAACGCCCAATCTCTAACCTCGCGTCCCGGTGTCCCAATCTCTAACTCCTTCCGCGGTTCCTTTCCTACTTACTCAAGCATAGTAATCTCATCTCCATCATTTACAGCAGTCCCGCTACTCTCACCGCTGCCGCTAGTACTGGGAAGCTGCCTATTGATATTAATGATCCTCTCTGGTTCTTTATCTTTATATTTGTTTCGCTCGCGGGCCTTGTTTAGAGGCAAGACTTCGATATCGCCCGAAGGACCACGGGACAGGACCGGACTATTAGTGTTTGGGTGACGGCGCCCGGGATGTGCGGGGTATTCGGGATGATCGTAATGGTTTTCGTCGCCGTGGCCATGATGGTGGTGAGAGTCTTTATTGTCGACTTGAAGTGTGAGTTGTTTTGCCTTCTAATCAAAACAATCAGTCCGCTAGAATCTAATTTGGAGACGGTGGATGAGTGAACAGGGCAGAAGGGAACATACCGCCGCCTGCTTCCTGGTATACCTGTTTAAACTCTCACAAAGCCTATCGAGCACCCACTCACTCTCCGTAACATCTGCCAGCATCGGGCTATCCTCTCCAATCCAATCCCACTCCACGAGCCCTTCTTCATCTTCCTCGCGCTCCACTTCCTGTGGCGACATGCTGCTAAACTTGATCAGCCGCGTGAACTCAACCCATTCCTCATAAGTATATCTCTTCGCATGATCAACGCGCAAATCATTCGCCGTGCGTTTAATAGCGAGTGCGAGTTTTCTCGCTAACTCATGTTCGGTGGCTTCTGGTCGTTCCTCTGCTAGGTTTTCCAGCGTGAGGGGATTATTGCCGTGCCCGTTTCCTTCAAGTGTAGATTCCTCATCCGGATTCTGTAGCTCAAAACCATGTTCAACCCTCTTCTTCGCCTGCCGCTCTTTCGTCTTCCGCTCCAACCACGAACGAAGCTTAGGGTGACTTTCGAGAAAATCACGCCAAATTCCCTCTTTCGGCATCACCGTCCAATCTGCAACCGTGAAAGTGCCACGGTTGATTGCAGACACGACAGTATCGCCCATGTCGGAGATAAGGATTGTCATGGTGGGGATAGCAATGAGTGACCAGACGACGAAAAATGGTTTCCCGGCATTGGATTTGGGGCTGAAGTCGCCGTAGCCAATGGTAAGAAGGGAGACGTAGCAGAAATACAAAGATTCGAAATAGGACATGTTTTGAATGCGGCGTTCAGCCACCATAAAGACCACCGCGCCTACGCACCAGAGGATACTAAATGCCAATGCAGACATGCTAAGGGCGAAATACTGCTCGAACTTGTGGGTACGTGCTTGTATGTCCCTCATAGCATCGAAACGATCCTTTTCCTCTTTCAGCATAAGTAATTTCTCTCGTTTATATGCGCGTCGCGATTGAGGACCTCTTCCTGCTGCTCGCTGTTGCATTTTCGCGTCGCGACTGAGAGCCGGTTGCGATTTGTGCCTTCTGCCTGCACCGCCGCGCCCACCACCTCCTGTGGGTTTCTTTTTTTCATGAAAGGTAATACTACGCCCGTGGATGTCAAAATGACCATATTGCTCGAGAGACTCCCGTCTATTCTTCAGGGAGGCAACAGATGATGACCTCCGGGTGAGAGCAAAAGAAGACCGCCGGACATCTAAGACTGGATCTCTGCGGGGAGGCAAGCCGAGTCGCTCCCGAAGCTCTTTCTCACTCGTGACTGAGCGGCCATACGTTTTCTGCCTCTCTTTGAGTTGATGCTTCCTGATAACTTTATCTTTGGACATCCCTAATGTGAATTTCCGGATACTGTTGATCATGAGACCCAGGAATATGATACCCCCAACCGAATAAGGGAAGACTAATCCCCTACCAGCATTGTTGTTGCCAACGAAATCACCGAAGCCAACAGTCAGCACAGTGACGTCGCAGAAATAAAGGGCATCGGCATAGTTCCACCCGCAGACTTTAGAAAAGACAGCAGCGCCTCCGGCAAGCCAGAAGAAAAACATCATGGTCTGCAATATAAGCGTCCGTTGGTCATCATCTAGTTCAAAATGCTGAGGATAATGCCCTAAGAAGTACCCCAGCATGTTGACCATCAGAATCATCGAGCCAATTAGATATAGCGAGGCAGCAATAATAGCGTGCCAGAAGCCCTGAGAATACGTTTCTCCTGGCCTAACGGGCGGTACATATTTATTCATAGCCACAATAATACTAATCAGAATGCCCGTAGCCATGTACCAGCTTATAATTGTAGCGGGAAGCGCAATGATATATCGAACACGTCTTGTGAAGTTCAGCAGAAGGCAGAAGTTGCCGAAATATCCAAGGCCTAGGGATACGGCATTCAGAACAATCTCCCAGTGTGGATCGGGTATATCTATGCCAGCATCATCCGTTCCTTCGGGTAGCTGACCGTTGTCTGGGAGGGTGACCCGCCATTTGGACACTAGGGCTGCGATGGATAGAACGTTGGCTAAGGGCCCAAGTGTTGCAGCTAGGAGGGGAATGGCGGTTGATGCAAACCACCAGTCTCTATAAATGAGTTGTCAGCCTTCGCTCTCCTTCAAAGCAATGTAGGTACAGGAGAACCCACTGAGGTAAATCATCCGTCTTCCCCCTCAACTTGAACCTCCCAACCCGAGTTATCGGATCTTCTCTCTCTAGTGTATTCGAACTGCTCGTACTCCTGTTGATATCATCTGTGAAGCGGCTCGTCAAAGCATTGTCGTCGCTCCGTTCTGTCGCCACTCCCGAGTTTTCCGCCATTGTGGTTATTGTCCTTGAGCGCCCTGGCTTTGTCGATTCCAGACTGCGAATCTATGCATCATGAACCTGGCCAGCACACCCGGTTCCAATGCCTAGGTATTTTACTGGATCGAAGAGAGTGGGTTCTGCAGTGTAATTATTGAGTTTGTTGTGTAGATACTCGATTCAGTCTCCTGGTAGCTGCTCCAAAAAAATCCCGCTGGACTCTTTATTCACGGATGACAGACGAAAACATATATTACTAAATGGGGAAAATATGGACCATGTATATATGTACAGAAGAAGGAATGAGAGTGCAGACAGAAGATTGCGGAGCGCGCGAGTGATGTACAAGCCACAAAAAGCTGGTTGGAAGCTTCTGCGTAACCACCCGAGCCACCGATGCGGGCCATCGGTCAAGCTTCGTGCCTTCCCTGCAGCATCCCTGTAAATGTGGGTGAAATAAGCTTCGTACTCCGTTACTCCGTGCCACATGATATGCTCTACCTACAAGCATACGTAGGTAGGTAATATGAGATCTCCCCACTTTTACTATACACGATCTCAATTTCTACCACAGTAACGTAAAGAAAGCACAGCTGAGATATATACTTAGTGGCGCTCTGTGGTTAGTTTGTGGAGATAGGCGTTAGAGCGGAAGATAGGCGCATATTAGATCAGTCACCTGCAAAGTTTGCAAGAGGAGATATCGAGACCATGTCTTATTCATATCCATATGCAATGCAACTCGGCCCAGAAAGCCCATCATAACTCCATGCCTGAACAAATACAGTAACAATTAAAGTACACTAATCAATAGAAAACGTTTTCTGATCCGCTTATTCGAATCTGTCGGGAAGCACAATAGGTGCCACAAGGGTCCAGGTGTAGATACCGTAACAAACCCAAGCGCTAACAATCTTGACCCAACTGGCCCAGTATGTCCTTCCAACAGGTGCAAAGTCGTTTCCGTCCTTTGTCGATTCCTCAATGTTCATGGTAAGGAGTGTGGCGACCCAGGTAGTCGCCAAGAAGAAGATTATATGGAAAAGTGCGTAGCTGTACTGTGTCGAACTTCTCTCGTCGTCTTTCGCGGTGTTACCGCTGTCGCTTTCATCATCGTCATCGTCCAAAAGGGCATCTGCTGGAAGACTTCCTTCCTCAACAGCTTGGCGGAGAGCCGCCGCGCGCATTTCACGGCGGCTGTCTGGTTGCTGGGTGACCAAGTCATGCTCATCATCTTCTGGCAGTCTGATGCTCTTGCCCTTGCCCCCAAGAGCAACTCCTTGCGTAGCAGCTCTGGTCGTGGTATAGGCGACTGTGAACATGGTGACAATAGCACCAATGATAATCGAGGTGGTTCTTGTACCCTGCGCACGAATGAGAGGGTTGCAGTTCTTATCATCTGGCTCCATAGACACAGCGGACATGGTCAGATAGGTGCAGTAGACTGCGACCATTGCGGATTGTGCAAGGCCAGCTTTCTGGTTGTACTCCTGGATGGCAGGATGAACGGAGACCGCCGAGACAATGATGAGGAGTATCAAGTTGATTGAGATAGCAGCTTGGTTCATAGAACAGTCATGGCCGGCGAAGAAGTAGTACTGGACGATTGTCATAGCCAACGAAGCAGCGTACATTCCCAGCGTTGATCCAATCAAGATTCCTCTCCAGGCCCGAGAATCAGTTGCATCAATCTGCTCAAGACAGTACTCCGCCCATGTATGCGCCAGGTCGACAAGGAGGATCAGGCCGAGTAGTAAAAAGAGCGTAGCCCCAATAAGAGCGATATAGTTTCCCCAGACCATGAAAAACGCTTCGGGTATCAGGAACGAGACGACGATTAAAGCCAACCAGGCGATAATTTTAGGGCCCCAGAATCCATTCTGTATGGCAGCTCGAGGATTCTTGGAAGAGTTGACTCCTAACAATAGGACGGCCATTATCATGTGGAAGACGCCGAGCGCAAAGTTGATGCGGTGTATTGCGACCCATCCATAGCAGTCCCCATCAGGACACTTGATCTCCATATAATCCAGGGTCAAATGCTGTAGTTTCTTGATGGCCCATGGCGTGAGCATAATCCATGATAGTATCGAGTTGACGAGGAGGATGAGGGCATATGCGATACGAGTGGCAACGCTAGGCAGTAGTCAGTATGAGGGTAAGATGTATGTATATGCCTGTATAACTACTAACCTATTCCCACATTTACCACAAGCACTACATACTGCTGAGCAAGTAGCTGCACCGCAACAGCTTGCTCCGAATGTCAAGAGCTGGGGGATGTCAGTGGCTAGTAACAGCTGAGTTGTGAAGAGGACTTACTGTGCCTACGCTGGGTATGGCTAACAATGGGATTGATAGTAGAGCACCCATAATGTTGGATATTGTCTGATAGAGATGCGCAATGAATGCTTCAGAGCAAGGCAAGGTGGTGTTTAGCAGTTAGTTTGCTGTTGATGGTGGAGGCGATGCGGCTGCGTAGTTATTGAGGTTTACGCTAGGCCGTGAATGGTAAATGCCGATTTTCCGCGATCATCCTATCCCTACCCTACCGAGCCGAGCCTACTACCATTACCCTTACTTACCCGATAAGCAGATAACGGAATGCTAGGATCCTCTGAATATTATGGAGTATGGCGACGCATCGTCACATTGTCACCTCCACTTACTCCTTCTTGTTCCACACACATCGTTCAACCAACCTTCTTCATCTTCAGCTCCCTCCTGTGCACCATCAGAATCTCCCAAACCGAGTGGCGATGGCTTTTCAATCTTGAGGAATCCAGCTCCACATCCACTCCATCCGCAATGATCAAGAACTGAAACGGACACCTCGACTACATTCCAATCCCACCCTTCCCTTCCAGCTATCATCATGTCGGACAGGTCGCACCTCACCGCGAGGATTGTCTCGAGTATTGCAGCAACCTGTATCTCGTTGGCCTGCGGAACCAATGTATGTTCGCTCACTTTGACTTGCAGCAGCTAGTTCTGACAATATCAGTATGTGTATTCGGCATGGGGTCCTCAATTCGCCGAGAAGCTCAAGCTCTCGTCAACCCAGCAGAACATGATTGTAAGAGCATCCCCCCCCACCCCAGTTATTGATCATTCACTGACATAGATAGGGATTGTCTGCCAACCTGGGCATGTATTCGCTGGGAATACCTATTGGCATGTTGGTCGACGCAAAAGGACCACGAATTGCTACTATGGTGGGCGCCGTCCTACTCGCCGCGGGCTACTTTCCCCTACACCAAGCATACGATAGAGGATTCGAATCTATGCCAGTACCAATACTGTGCATGTTCTCATACTTTACCGGTCTGGGCGGTTGTGCAGCTTTTGCTGCTGCAGTCAAGACATCTGCGTTGAACTGGCCTCACCATCGAGGGACGGCTACAGGGTTTCCCCTGGCGGCATTCGGTTTAAGTGCCTTTTTCTTCTCGATGTTCAAGCAGTTTGTAATGCCAGGAAGTACTGGAGACTTTCTCTTTCTATTGGCCTGTGGAACTTTTGGGCTGGTATTTGTCTCTTTCTTCTTCCTCCGGGTACTACCACACTCTCATTACAGCGCCGTTCCGTCAGGCAATCGATTACACAAAACAAAGTCGGAGGATAGCAAGCACCGACGAGAGCACGCATTAGAGCCAGAACCAGGTACGTCCAAATTTGTAGTAGAGCACCTCGACCAAGGAGACGCCCTAAATCAACATCACGTAGAAGTCGAAGCACCTGACGAGGACTTGAACCCCACATCCGAAACAGACGAGACTTCCTCCTTGATGTCCAAATCCTCCTCCTCCTCAGTCCGTGGTGATGGCGTGGTATCTGAAGAAATTTTTATTAAGGATCATGCCCATCGTGTAGATATTCGGGGTCTTCAAATGCTTTCCATGCTCGAGTTTTGGCAATTATTCTCATTGATGGGAATTCTCACGGGAATTGGCCTGATGACTATAAAGTAAGTTATGTCCATCTATTCATGATATCTCGTTAACTTGTGATAGCAATATTGGCAACGATGCCAACGCCCTATGGCGCCACTACGATGATTCTGTGACCGACGACTTTGTTCAGAAGCGTCAGGCGATGCACGTCTCCATTCTCTCTGTCTGTAGTTTTATCGGACGTCTTCTCAGTGGTACGAAGCCCCCGCTTCTTGTTACAAATCAAGCTGACCACTTATAGGCGTTGGGTCCGACTTCCTTCACAAAGTCCTCCGCGCTTCTCGACTATGGTGCCTAACCCTCGCCGCCGTCGTCTTCCTCATCGCTCAATTCGCGGCGCTTAACATCACAAACCCTCACCAACTAGTCATCGTCTCATCTTTCACTGGGTTAGCATACGGCTTCCTCTTTGGCTGCTTCCCATCCCTCGTCGCTGAAGCCTTTGGCATACATGGAATGTCCACAAACTGGGGATGCATGACGCTAAGTCCCGTCATAAGCGGGAATGTTTTTAATTTGTTTTACGGAATGGTATACGATCATCACAGCATCGTTAACAAAGATGGGGAACGCGTGTGTACTGAGGGATTGGCGTGTTATCGCAGTGCCTATCTTGTTACTGTGGCAGCGTGTGTGCTTGGACTTGCTATAAGCTTGTGGAGTATTAGGTATACCCACATTGCCCGCATACAAGAAGAGAAGTTGAGAGAGTTGGAGGAGCGGGAAGAATGAAAGAATGATTACTTTCGCTCCTTAGGAAATGGCATGCGGGTTTTCAACAATTTAGAAATTGATTTACGGGAAGTAGGCATAGACTAGGTTGAAAGGCGTTACTAGACGAGATAGAGTTTTCTTTGGACCTTGTTTCAAAGCGTAAGCTACGTACAAACGATACCATTGTTTTTTTTTTTTACTTGATAGCCAGGCCGAATCTCTATCTGCGTTACAAATCCTCACCAGATCAAGTCGCTCTTAGCATTTCACTTGTCTGGCCTCATTAGCCACCTATTCTCCCTAGGCGAGCGCCCCCTATCGTTGTCCCTCCAGACGGACGCGATCAACAAATCTGCCCAAGGTGGTCGTCGCAGAATCGCGAGAACGAGATCCTAGTAGACCTAGATCTACTCTTTGTATGCGCTTTCTTTTGTTTTTCATAACAGCTAGGAGAGTAGGCTGCCACTACCAGCCGTCACTCTCAGAGCAACGAGGGTGCTCTCACGTGCCGCTCAGAACAGTACTCGACGCTGAGTTGAATTAATCTGAACCCCACCACATCGCGGAATACTTCTCCCCCTTCACCAGTTCCAGCTCAAGCGCAAACGCAATTTCCAATCCCAATCACCACATCGGCATACTAACCGTATTCCCATAATCAATCTTATCTTTCGTACTCTCAATCCTCTCCCCCATCGTCCCAAACACCTTATCCCAAACTCTAGTCTGCTTCCCATAATTCCCGCTCTTCTTCCAGCCCCTTCTATGATGCAAATCATGGTCCTCAATCACCAAATCCAGCCCCCACATCCTCAGCAGCCAGTGCAGCGTACTAGGCGGCGTCGAATACAAGCGTAGTCCACTATGTCCGGCCAGTTCCGTGTATATCACGTATTGCTGACATACCCACCACTCGTAGAACCCCATCGGCATGCCGAGCACCCGCATGCTGAAGTACGCGAGCAGTGGGATCCCGGCTATGTCGAAGAACTCTTGCTCGTGGTCTGCGTACAGCGTGAGCAGGGCGTTCGGGTGTTTGGTCAGGTGGTGCGTGCGGTGGTATTTCCACAATCCCTCTACCTCGTGCATAAGTCTATGGTACCAGTAAAACCAGAAATCGAGCACGATTTGGTACAGTCCTATCTCTAAAGGCAGGAATAACCAGTTTATCGATGAGGGGCCGAGAGCGGTATGGTAGGTGAGGATTATGGTGAAGAGCGGCCGGATGGCGGAGGTGATGGATAGGGAGCGCAGGGCTTTCAGCACACTGTGGTCGGGAACTTGGTCGCGCGGATGAGCGTCGCCGTCTAGGAACCCATACATGTGACCCTGACGACGCAGTAGTTGAAGTTCTTTTATGGCGATAGCTTTTAGGGCAATGGTGTAGAAGAAAAACGCTGCTATCGATGAGAAGTTGTGGCCTGTGTAGTAGATATAGATTTGTTGCAGGGCGAGTGGGATGAATGCGTGGACAAGCACCCAGCGCTGGTGGGTCCAATTGGGGACAAAGGGGATCTTGTCGTCTTTGCTGTGCACTGGGATGGGTTTGCCGATGGTGGTAGGGTGAATTCCGAGGACTTCGTACATCCAGTGATGGATTGTCCATTCGGTTTTGTCGCCTTCGCGCCAGGTGGATGTCATGGAGTCTTTGGAGTTACGGGTTGCTTGCATGATAGCTATTATATGTTGGGACTAAGATAAATGGGTTTTCTGGACAGTGGGTGTGAAATACAGAGTACAGTATATGAAGCATATATATATATATATATACATATAAAACACTTTCGTTCCATTAAAACTTTAAAACTTTAACACATGAAAATACCAGTAATCATTCCTCGGCATCCACCCCCGCACTACTTGGACCACTCTCACATTGGCAAAGATTGTCAACGTAATCAAGCTAAAAGCGATTAACAAGTGATTGGGTGAAGGAACGTCATTCCAGCCCATTTTAAGGCAGAAGCTTTTGCAGCTTTGAAGATATACGCAATTGCAATCCAATATGTGCCGACATATGCAACGCGGCAACTATTTCTACTCCTTTGGGAAACCAATATCAGAGTTAAAATCTCTCGCCCAAGCCTTTTCCAACGGGTTCAGCGTGGAGTGGGTCTTTGCCGAGGCGGGGGGTTACGCTGCCCCGCATTTTGACGAATACGATGGCCCCCCTTTTCTACATCTCGTCTAGGTAGCTCTAGGTAACCGTTTTCGTACTCGGTAACAACCTTGGTATGATTTCTGTGCCACTGCCGCATTTACAACCTTACCAGGCTGTTACATAGATAGCTAGGCACGTGTATAATACATTTTCCTTGGTACAGTACATGATAGAATGAGCAAAGAGAATACAATCGCGGGGTAGGTATAACTACTCTCACAAATAAGTGTCTCTCAAGCCGTTTTTAATACATACCTTACATACAACGAACTTCAACCCACCCATTCAAACCCGCAAAATGAACGCAATCACCCAAGCAATCGTCAACAACTCAACCCTAGAGATAACATCCATCAAAATCACAGACGCAACCAAAACTTCCTTCCTCATGTCGCTGGTATGCCAAGTAGCCAACACAGGTCCAATCGGCGCAACCATGACCCCCATGACCCTCTCTATGAGCGGAAACGCTGGATGTTTCGGTACCCTAAACCTCCCCGAGATAAAAACCAGCTCGGCAGGGACAACAATCACGGTTGCTGAGCAAAGAATTGAGATTGTGGATATGGATGCGTTTGTGGCGTTTAATAAATCTAGTATGTACAATTTGTTTAATTACTATATCATATCATATCACATTTATCCCCAATCAAAATCTAATTTGATGTATATCCAACTCAAATCCCTCATCTCGATGAGATGCACGTTAAAGTATTCCAAGCTAATACAGTATCATCCATCTAGTTATGAACGACTCCTCACTAACCCTACATCTCACAAACGGGTCCTCGACCATCAAAGCACTATTCCTCTCTGCCAAAATAACATACGCGAAAGACGTTCACCTAACGGGCATGTCCGGTCCCCTCACAACCATGCTCTCCACAACCATTTCCCCAGCAGGCACATTCACAAACACAATGCAAGTGCAGAACCCCTCCCCCCTAGAAATCGACCTCGGGACCCTGAAGCAAGAACTCCGGAATGCGAAGGGAGAGAGAATAGCTGTGCAGAGGGGGAAATTGTATCTTGGGCGAGGGGAAACGAGGTACGTTATGCAGGGGGAGGTTAGCGGGGGTGGG